CATGTGCACACACACACTCACACACACACACTCACACACACACACACACACACACACACACACACTTCAAAATTACAAATAAAGCCAGGCAATGGCGGCATATACCTTTAAACCCAGAAATCGGGAGGCAGAGACAGGTAGAGCTCCATAAGTTTTGAGGCCAGCCTGATCTACAGGGTAAAGTTCTAGGGCAGCCAAGGCTACACAGAGAAACCCTGTCTCAAAAACTAAAAAATTTTAAATGAATGTTTAAAATTATTTATTACTTCCCATCCTAAAACAATACATACAGATGAAATTAATTAACAAGAGATTTTCTCTACTTCATCACACCGCGTCAACATAGGAGGCTTTGTATACTTTCCAGGTATTGTGTCCCAAGAATCAGCAGGTAGACTTCAGTCTTGCAGCAAAGGATAGAGTCTCCTAATTCAAAACTTAACTCCCTTTTCACTAATCTGAGCATCTGGCAAATGCATTTAAACACAGGTCTCTCTCCATAATGACCCCGGCACTTTCTAAATCGGGGGAAGAAAGCCTGAGTGTGATGTGGGCAGAGCACGCAGGAACTTGAAACAAGTGCCTGCCTAATGTTCGGAAAATGACTAACTAACTCCTGGGCATGTGAATATCCACACATCTACATGCCAACTAGTGAATAAAATATATCCTGAGATGGGGAATGAAACTCAGAAGGCCCTGGCTTCTTCCTCAAACTGCAAATAAAAACAAATGAATGAAATACTGATGGAAAATATCCTTTTAATTAATATTCTAACTTAAGAATCTAAAAAGAGAATTCTTCCTCCTTCCTCTTATTCCTCCTCCTCCTCCTCTTCTACTGAGACAGGGTCTTATGTAGCCCAGGCTAGCCTTGAACTCCTTATCTCCCAGCTTCTACATCCTTGCTATCACCAGGTGTGTTCTACTAGAGGAGGCAGGCAATTCTTATTATTTATTTATTTTTGAGATACAGTCTCTCTATGTAGTCCTAGTTGTCCTGAAACTCACTGTGTAGGCCAGGCTGGCCTTGAACTCACTGAGATCTGCCAGCCTCTGCCTCCCAAATGTTGGGATTAAAGGCATGTACCACCAATTCAAGCATAGGCATGCTATTCTTAAGGGCAGGCACATAGGAAAAAAAGAAATTGCTTGATCTCACACAGGCTGCTTAACCTAATGGCACAGTCTGCCCACTCAGCTACTGTCGGCTTCTGTTAATAAATTTAAGAACTCTCCTCAGATATAGGTGGGTAGAGACCATATGTCCACCAAAACCTGTCTAGGGTGTGGTATGCTACAATGAAAGCAAGGCTTGTTGTTTACCGGACAGACATTTAAGGGCGAGGTAGCACCTTGAAGTTCTTATTAGTTCAGTGAAGTCCACATGCCCACTGTGTCTTTTCTCCAATGTCCTTAGTACATAGTACACACACTCTGCGGAGATTCATTCTGAGGAAGGAAAGATTCACGCTTACATCAAGCAGCTGCTGGTTAGGTCAGAGGGTGACGGTCAGTCAGTCGAGAGTAGGATGATGCAACTACCGCCTAGGACACCGCGCTCAAGCACTAGCCTACACGTCTACCAATTCTTGGACCTGTCTACGCAAGGACGATGCCTATACAGTCTTTCTGCCAACAAGCTCCCCTTTGCAGAGGGAAGCCAACTGCTAGAGACAAAAAGAGCCTTGTGCATGCTAAGTGGGTGACCCACCACTGGGCTGCACCCCGCCTAGCCATTCATCTTCAACACCGTTCACCTCGAATGTAAAAATTAAGAGAGCCTATCAGGCGCACAGGCGAGGCCCATACCACAGGGAAAAGGATGTCCCGGTGGTTAGGTAGCACAGCAAAGCCTTCTCAGTCAATGACTCTGGAACCTAAAGGTGACGAGAAGAACTGTCATTCTAGAACCATGACTTTAAAATGCCACCAAATTGCCTTTTCCTACTCTCTTTAGACAGGACTTCATACTCACCCAAGAAGTTTTTTGATGTTGTTGAGACAGGGTTTCAGGTAGCCCAGGCTGGCCTCACATGCACCATGTAGCCTAGACTGCTCTTCGATTTCTGACCCTCCTTCTTCTCTCTTCCAAGGGCTGGAGTTGAGGCACGTGCCACTACATTCAGTGTGAGGAACTAAACCCAGGGCTTCGTGCTCGCTGGGCAAGCAAGCCACCACTGAGCTACATCCCTAGTTCCAATAAGACAAACTGAAAAGAGCTCAGAGCAGAAATCACAAGACTCACTCTGTCCTGTTTATTAACACCCTTTACCAGACCCTAGGACTTGCATTTCCTCATCTATAAAATGGACTTGAAAATACAACCTTGTCTCTCTATTTCTTGTGATTTGGGAATCACATAAGAAATCTGAATGACAGGTTTTTAATACACATTAGATTTCATAGGAGTGTGATTGTTAGTTATGGGAAGCAGCAAATGGCGAACCTGGGAAACACTGTGCTTCTTAAAGGAAGCTGGACAAAGACCACAGTCGGCATGAGGACACTTGTCTGGAATGCTCGGAGCAGTCAGTCTACAGAGGCAGAAAGTATATTTGCAGTGGCCTGGAGGTAAGGAAGGTCAAGAGGAAAGGGAAAATGACTCCCAGTGACGGGGATCTTTCAGGACCAAATAGACTGTGGGCATGCCACACATCTCTGAATTCACAAAACCACTGGCCTATCCCCTGTAAATGGACGAATCCAGTGGGAATTGTGTCCCAGTAAAACTATTTTTGAGACAAAGCCACAGGCCCATAATCCCAGCTACTTGGAAGTCTGAGGCAGGATAGTTCAAAGGCTGTTTGGGCCTCAAAGTGAGTCAGGGCCATAGACAACCTGTAGAAATCCTGTCTCAGAATTTAAAAATAAAAAAGGGGGTCTGGAGACACGGCACAGTGGTAAAGCATTTCCTAACAAAATCCCAAGTAGGGAGTAGGGGGCACACTTCCACAGACCTTAATAAACATGACTCCCTTGAGTATCTGTTGACTTCTGCACACTGAAGTCTCCTGATTGCTAACAGAGCCCAGACATATTCATATTTCTGCCTGTTGTTACTATTTTCAATAAAGCTGTATTTTGTGAACAGCGAAACTAAGTTTTACTCTCACAGAAACAGAGCCAATGAAATGGCTCAGTGAATACAGGACACTTGAGTTTGATCTCTGGGTCCCACGAGGTGGAAGGAGAAAACACTCCAGCCAGTTGTCCTCAAACTTCTTCACATGAGCCGTGGTATGTGTACACGCGCACACACGCGCACACGCACACACACATATACACACAGGTTAAATGTCATTTTAAAAAATTTAAATATATTCTAGTCACTGCACTAAGATCTATTTTTTAAAAAAGTGCTGCCACGTCCTTGACTCCGAGCAGCTTGCTGGATGGCTGAAGGAAGTAGGTGTAAAAGATTCAACTTCAGTCCCTTGTAAATGCAGTGATAAAGTTTGTATTACTTTGGGGTTCTTTAGAGAAATAGAACTGACAGAACAAACACAAACACACACACACACAGAGGATTTACTACCACACACACTGGACACAGGCAAGCCAATTGGACATGGGTTCTAGCCCTCAGCCAGGACAAATGGCTTCAAGTCTCTGGTTATGGGTTCATGCAATCAGAGGCATCTATAGTCAATTCCCAGTACAAAGGTTCACAGTGGAGGACGTGACTTGGAAAACCTGCTTTAAAAGGACCAAGATGGCCGGGCGGTGGTGGCGCACGCCTTTAATCCCAGCACTCAGGAGGCAGAGGCAGGCGGATCTCTGTGAGTTCGAGGCCAGCCTGGTCTACAGAACGAGTTCCAGGACAGCCTCCAAAGCCACAGAGAAACCCTGTCTCGAAAAACCAAAATAAAATAAAATAAAATGACCAAGATGTCAGGCATAGTGGTGCACACCTTTAATCCTTGAATTCTGAGTTCAAGGACAGGCACAGTGATGCACACCTTTAATCCAAAGGCTCGGAGTTCAAGGCCAGTCACTCTCTACATGCTGGAATTGCAGGTATGTTAGATAAGGAAGGCATTGTTTTCAAAGAATCCTGCAGATGCTAACTAGGATGAATGTGACGTGTTGCTTATTAGCATACCAAAAAAAGCTGTGCGAGAAGATGGGGCCAAGTCTAATAACTCATCTTTTTGTGTGTATGCACACCTATGGTCTCAGGAGTAATTATTTTTGTTAAAGTCTTCTCTCATGACCGAAATTAAGGCCATTTAAGATAACATGCTCATTAAAACTTTTAAGAGAATTACTTCAGTCACTCCAATAACAACTTTGGAGAGCATTCAGGGCAGTATAGCTTTCAGGAATGTACACATATTTAAAGAAAGGGGAGAGGGCTGGAGGTGACATCTTTGTATGTAGCAGCACTTGGAAGCGGGAGGCAGGATGGTCTAGAGCTCAAGGCCCATCTTAGCTCTACAGCAGGTTCGAGGCCAGCATGGACCACATGAGACCATCTAAAAGAAGAAGGATGTGTGGAGGGAGGATGAGGAGGAAGCAGAGAAGAAAACATACTTAGGCGCAAAACAAAACTAGCAAAGAATTTTAACGTCAAGCAATGTTTATCTTTCCAGAGTTTAGTTTAGAGTTGTAGCTGGCCTTGTTTTGTAGTTGCAGAATGGGGCATCGCTCCATCCCACGCACGAGAGTGTGTCCCCTTAGTTTGTTTACTTCCCCTAGAATGGTTCACCCGGCAGTTAGATCTGCCTCACTACATTGCATGTCAAGGATGAAATTCTCATCCTCCAAGGTACACACACCCTGCACGAAAAGGGCACAGAAACAAACAGGATTACCAGGTTGACAGTGGCACCACATCCTCATGTACGAGGTCTCCATTCACACGAACTGGACACATCTGATTATGTCCCCAACAAATTATTAGGTCACTTGGACTCTCTGGCCCTCTCATCCCCTCCTACTCTCCTGGGTCCACAGCTTATAAGGACATGTTTTTAGCATAATATAAATAGAGTCAGCCAAGAAATGTAAACCCACCATATGATAAATATACAACCTAGAAAGATGCATTTCAGCCGCATGTGGTAGATTTAAATTAGTGAAAATTCCAGCTCCTAGGCTGCAAGATAGTTAAGCCTGACTCAGGTTTTCTAGCAGGCTGGAAAACAAGCTCCTCCGGATTACATATGAAGTGATTCTAAGTGAGGCCATTTTTCTTGCAGAGCTGCTGAAATCTAGGCGTGGGTTGGTACACGGGTATCTCTCCTCCCACCGTGCAATCCATCAACCATCCCCAATTTACTCTTTGCACTAAGTGTTATGACCGTGTTCACTGAAAAGGGAGAAACCACCCAGACACCACACTGAAAGTTTCTCAGTTTGGGCCAGCAGGAAATTCCAGTCGCTTCATTCATCAGAGCCAGTTAAAGCCGCTGAAATGAAATGGGCACTTGGAGATTGCTATGTCAGGCCATAGGCTTAATTTGGGGGGTTGAAGAGGGTCAGACAAAGACAGAAAATAACAAAAAACTGGTGGCCAGTTTGGGAGGGAACAAAATTCAAAGCCAAAAGGAAAAAATCCTCAACTTTAGTTAGCACGCTTTTCTTTGGTAGGTAAGTCCACTTGTACAACATTCATCAGGCAGCGGTGACAAGCCACCCCAACCCTCGCTGAGCTCCCCAGAGATTTCCACAAACATATCCTCCTAAAGTGTAGTGCCACACGCAACCATTCTATGTATCCCCTGACTTCTCCGACTGGACACCATCACATTTTGCCTGAAGTGTGGCTGCTGTCAATTTCCCACTTGACAGAGCAATGGGATGAGCCTTCCCAAAAGCAACACTCGGCGCACACTTTAACTAGGCAACCTCCAGGAAGTCAGAATCGGGGCTTGCCACACATTCCTGCCACCTGCACTGCCTCTCATCCAAGCCCCCACCCCACCCCTGACACCCAAGGGCTCCTGAGGACGCCGGAGAGCTGAGCCTGGGCCGCCAGGGGGCGGGAGGCAGCTGCCGGCCGAGCGTCTCGGTGTCGCGGTGCCCTCCCCGGGGCCACCAGCCACTCACGGATTTTCACTCGCCGGTGGTCCAGGCGCGCGGCGGCGGCGTGCAGGGCGTCGAGGCGGCGGTGCAGCTCGGCGGTGCGGTGACCCAGCGCGGCTGCCTGGCCCTCGAGCTCCCCGAAGATGTCGCCGGCGCAGCGCGACAGGTCGGCCAGCTGGGCAAGCAGGCAGACCAGAGTGTGCGAGCTGACCTGCTCCAGCGAGCGGAAGAGCGGCGTGCCCGCAGCCCGAGCCACCGCCGCCTCCTCGGGCCGGCGCAGCCGCGCGGGCTCCACGCTCCGTTGGTGGAAGGGCATGGCTGGGCACGCGGGGCGCCGGGGGACCGGCAATCACGGCGTTCACGCCGGGCCCCGAGGGCGATGGGCTCGGGTCTGCATCCAACACAAAGGAGAGTCCCGGGGCAGCAGGCGCGGGGACGAGGCCGGCAGGGGAGGAGGCTCGGGGACAGCTCGGAGACCCCAGGCGGGTGCCGCGCGGCGACGTGCCTCCTCCGGGGCTCCCGGGCAGCGCGGCGGAGGAAGTTCCCGGAGCAGTTCCCGGGCGGCCGCGGTGGGTCCCGCTGGAAGTTTGCAGGCAGGAAAGCGCCGCCGCTCCTTCCCTCCCTCCGGATTGGAGAGGGAGGAGGAAGCGGGGGAAGTGCCGCCGACACGGGCGCGAGGGAGGGCGGCGGGAGAAAGGGAAGGGGGAGGAGAAAGGCCGGCCGGGAACCACCTGCGGCTCCCGCGCCCGCCGCGCCCCGCGCCCAGGCCGGTGGCCACCCGGCGCCCCAGCGCACTCTGCTGGGACGATCGCGCAGTCCCCGAGCTCCCAGGACGCCGTCCACGCCCCCAGCCGAGCCCCCGGGCGCCGGGGCCCAGTCCCCGCCCGCACCCCAGGCCCGAGTGGGGCGCAACAGGGCGCCACGGAGGCGGAGGCGCCGGGACAGCGAGGCCAGTCCGGATCTGGCTCCTCACCTGCGCTGCCGCGGTGGCGGCTGTGTCCCTGTCCCTGCTTCCTGGGGAACGCCGCCGGGAGGCCTGTCTGGGTCCCCCTGGTCTCTCCCCTGCAAGGCTGCCAAGACTTCTGGGACACTTTGGTGAACCTCAAGGAAGACCTCAATAAGTCACCCAGTGGCCAGGAGTTCTGCAGCCAGCTAGGAATCTGAGTCGGGTTGGGGGTGTGGGGGCGGGACGGGACTCTGAAAACCTCTTCAGAATGCTTCAAGAGTTTTTCTAGGTGTCTCCCCTAGTGACTTCCTGTCCTTCAGATGGGCAGACGTAGTTGCCTGTTTCATCCATCCCTCAAGCGTTTGAGTTAGGTTACTAGACCCTAGAACCGGGAATCCGGGGCCTGGTAGATCATAGTCATGAGACACCCAGCTAACTCAAACCTTCTGCTAAGAAGAATTTGAGGAGGCTGGGTCCAATATCCCTAAGCTAAAGATCCCCCTGGCCTCATTGCTGTTTGCTCAGAAAAAGAATCTTGTCCTTCGGTCTCTGTCGCTGAGTTGACCCACATTGCAGCACTGCTCCTTGAGCTTGGGATCAATCCCCCAAGTGGTGCTGGTCTGCCCCTCTGCAGGACAGGAGCAAAGCAAGCAGGCAGCCTGAAGAGAATCTCTTGAAGAAAATTGACAGACAATGTCAGCACTCAGGAGGCAGAGACAGGTGGATCCCTGAGCCAGCCTGGTCTACAGATCGAGTTACAGGACAGCAAGGGGTATACAGAGAAACCCTGCCTCAAAAAGCCTGAAAGGAAGGGAGGGAGGGAGGGAGGGAGGGAGGGAGGGAGGGAGGGAGGGAGGACAAACTTTTTCCATCTTCCCCTAATGTACAACCTGTTTTGTCGTTGATGTGTTTTACAGTATGTGACGTTAATGATCTCAGGTCACCTGGTAGGACCACCTGCAGGGCTAAGAGCAAAGGCAACAGGTGCTGTCCGGTTTTTATACCTTGTTATGAAACACTGTATAAACAGTGTAAGTTTCCTTTTTAGGCTGCTTCCTCAAGAAATGTCCTGATGTGAAAGGGTGATGTTCCTTCCCACCAGCACCTCGCTGACATCATGAGACCATGAGTAACACTTTAACCGGCGATGTAAACCAGTTCTACTGGTGGCACACACTGCAATCAGGCAAGAGCAGCAGGAGTTCGAGGGTAGCCGCAGCTGACCTATATAGCGAGACTGCCCCAAAACAGTACTAAAATTCTATACAACGCGATAGGATGTAATGTAGTATTCAGTGCTTTCTAGTGTGTTGAAGGGCATGCGAACACAACATAGTCTATTTGGACCAATTTATCACTCCTCACCAATGGTTCTCAGGACACCCCCACCCCATACTAGCCACATGCAACCACTGCGCCTGTGTTTTTCACAGACTGGCCTATTCTAGATATTTCAGAGGAAAGGAATCAATCTGTGTGATCTTTTGTAGCTGGCATCGTGTTTCCAAGGCTTCTTCATGTTATAGTCCTTCCGTTCCTTTTTATGGCTAAATAATATGCCACTGTTATTATGGGTAGGCTATACGGTGTTGATCCACTCAGCTAATGAGCATCCAGTTTCTGCTCGCTATTATGAGCAATGTTATAAACACTCACCTGCAGGCTTTGGTGCGGACATACGTTTTCCTTTCTCTCAGGTCTACATACCTGGGAGTGGAATTGCCAGGTCATATAGGAAGTCTGTGTTTAGCCTTATGAGGAATTACGGGCTGTGTTCCCAGGCAGTGATGCCATTTTGCATTCCCATCACCCATGACTGAGGGCTCTATCTCTTCACTACCACTTGTTATTATCGCTCATAATTACAGCCATCCTACTAGATGTGTCTTGATTTGCATTTCCCTGAGAGCTAGTGATACTGGACATCTCTTCGTGTGTGTTTCAGCCACTTGTTCATCTCTGGGAAAAGACAATGCTGGAGAAAATCCACTTGGGTTTGTGTTCTAGTTTTTGTGTTTTATTTCTGTGGTGCTCAGAACTGAACCCAGAGCTTTTCAATGCTCTATTGCTGACCCAAATCTTTGGCTCCTACTCCTTTCTTAATTGGATGACTGCCATCATTATAATATAACAGGTCTTTATGTATATTTATATTTGAAACCCTTATATACAACATTAATAGGAGAGCAAAGATATTTTTGTGAGTTTATAATTCTGGAGCAATCCCAACATTTTTTTTCCTGCTGAGTATCAAACCCAGGGCCTCTGGTATTCTAGACAAATTTTCTATCATCGAATTAGAAGCTGAGCCCCTACATCTTTTATCATTGATGGGGAGTTCGAACTCAGGGTCTCAAGAATGCCAGGCAAACACTCTACCACTGGGCTACATCCCTTCTTTTTTATTTAAAATTTTAAATAATTTTTAGAATTTACTTAACTTTATTTTTATGTGCATTAGTGTGAAGGTGTCAGATCCCCTGGAACTGGAGTTAAAGACAGTTGTGAGCTGTCATGTGGGTACTGGGAATTGAACCAGGGCTTCGATTAGGAATAGTTCCATCTTCCAGCTTGTTGAGGTAGGGTCTCTCCTGATCTATCAGCTGCTCTGCTTCTGGGTGATTCTCTCCATCTTGCTATAGGAATACTGGGGTTGTAGATGTGTGCTGCCATATCTAGTCTTTTGTGTGGATATGGGGCTTGAATTCAGGTTGGCAGACATAAGCAGCAGACTGTTTTCACTTGCTAAATGGGAGGATCTACCAAGTATCTACCCTAAATCTAAATCTCTCCAGTACATTTTGGGTTTTTGGTTTTGGGGTTTGTTTGATGGTTGGTTGTTTTGTTGTTTTTGTTTTTGTTGTTGTTGTTGTTGTTTTTGTTTTTGAGAGAGGTTTCATGCTGTAATCCAAGCTGGTCTTGAACTCACAGCAATCATGCTTTAGCTTCCTAAGTGCTGGGATTACAGGTGTGAACTCACTATGCTAAGTTTAGACAGGAAGGTGTGTGTGTGTGTGTGTGTGTGTGTGTGTGTGTGTGTGTGTGTATGTTGAGACAAGGTTTCTCTGTGTAGCCCTGGCTGTCCTAAAACTTACTTTGTAGACCACAAGTGCTGGAATTAAAAGCATGCACCACCACTGCCCAGATTTTTAAATGGACAATGAAAGATAACATTTAAATTACTTAATGAATAGAGGCCATGAAATTCTATTTATTCCACATTCTGGTGTGTCTAGAATTTAAATTGAGCTTCTCAACCCGTGAAGTCATTTTATCAAAACATTTTACTCAGAAGAGAGATGTGGTAATGAAATCCCAGCACTCAGGAGGGCGAGGTGCCATGAGTTCAAGGCCAGCCTGGACTACCTAGCAAAAGACTGATTAAGAAGGAGGGGAGAAAGCAGGGAGCTGGAGGGGGTTGGGAGAATGAAAGACTTTCTGTAATTAAAACCTTTCCCAATTCCCAGCAGGAGCCCTTTGTGAGCACAATTATAGGAGCTGTGTTCCCACTCCCCCAGCCAGCTGGCAACCGTGCCATGGAGAGGAAGAGGAGTGGAAATCAAGCAGGAGTCTGGGCTGCAGTCGTGGGATGAACTCTGCTATCTTCACATCACACTCTGCTTAGGCGCGCACTGTTGGAATGTGCTCTTTTCTGAACACGTCTGAGCCCTCACTGGAGTGAGGCCATACTGCCTGACGCGGGCCATGGATGGATTCCTCTCCCCCAAGTGCGCCATTCCATCCTTCCACTCCTCAGAGGCTTTTGTTGTTCAGGTCTTTTCCATTCTCACAAAGGCTTTTCAGATAGGATGGAGTTCAAAATGTCTCCAGGTCAACACGTTTCTGGCAGCGGGCTCCAGATCTGGTCTCCATTTATTTATATATTTTGTTTGTTTGTTTTGTTTTTCAAGGCAGGGTTTTGCTTTTTGTTTTCATTTCTGTGTAGCCTTAGTTGTCCTAGAACTAGCTCCATAGACCAGGCTGGCCTCGAACTCATGGAGATCCATCTGCCTCTGCCTCTGCCTCTGCCTCTGCCTCTGCCTCTGCCTCTGCCTCTGCCTCAAGTGCTGGGATTAAAAATGTACACCACCACCACATGAAAGCCATGTGGCAGGTCCATGCCTGAATTGCCAGCACTGGCGGCAGACAGAAAGATTGCAGTGAAGTTCACGGCCAGTCATATCTGAAGAGTCCTGGGGTCAGACCAGCATGATGGCTCAGTGGATAAAGGCTGCTGCCAAGCCTCATGGCCTGTGTTCACTCCTCAGGGCCAATGTGTTGGAAGGAGAGAACGGATTCCCACAAGTTGTGTACACACACACACACACACCAAAACAAATAAATGAAATGTAGTGTGGTTTTTTTTTTTTTTTTTTTTTTGGTTTTTACAATACAGGGTTTCTCTGTATTGTTTTGGAGGCTGTCCGTCCAGCCCAGCCTCGAACTCACAGAGATCCACCTGCCTCTGCCTCCTGAGTGCTGGGATTAAAGGCGTGTGCCACCACCGCCCGGCATGAAATGTAGTTTTTAAAGTGTTCTACGCCAGCCACAAAGGAGGTAAGACCTTGCCTCCAAACAAAATCAAACACCCCACAAATGCATGGTTGAAAGGCAGGAAATTACCTCTCAGGCACAATATTCCTCGGCTGCCACAGTGTGCTGGGCTTTCCTCAAGTGGGAGTCAACACTAGTCCACAGTCGATGGAAGAATGCCAAACACCCTGGAAGGACGTGGCTCAAGTGTCCCCATGGCATCATGTGTTGACATTTAATCCCCAGGCTGAGATACTGAGCGGTGGCTGGAGGGAATGCCTTTGAGAGTTGATTGGGAATAAACGAAAGGTTATGATAGAATCTCATGATTGAATACTGTGTAAGATATGTAAGATGAAAGGACAAAAGACACACACACACAAGTACACATATGCAATGTGCACAACTAACCCATATGGTTTTGATCTGAAATGTGCCTCCAATTTGTCCCCCAGCTGATGGATCCCGTCATTGAGGGGGGGAATCTGACCTCACTACTAGCTTAGCCCCACCCACGGCTTCTCGTCATTGGGACATGGTGAAAATGGGATTTGGGGTCCGGTTGGAGAAAGCAGGCCACTGGGACATGGTTTTGGAGGGTTTGTCTGTGGTTACCACTTCCTCTCTCCTCAGAGGCCATTCCTCTGCCATGTCCTCCCCTCCATTGCGTCTCTGCTTTGTCACAGCCTAGGAGCAGCTGCACAGTCAAGGACTGAAATATCTGAAACTGTGAGCCACTTTAATTAAAGACATCCTCCTTCCTTTGTTTTTCTTAGGCATTTACTCATGTGTTATGTAAAACATACACACACACACACACACAAATACACACACACACAGTCTTAGTTAAGGTTTCTAGTACTGTGAAGAGACATCATGACGATGGCAACTCTTCTTATAAAGAAAAACATTTAATTGGGGTGGTTCACTCACAGCTCAGAGTTTTGGTCCATCATATCACAGTGGGTCATGTCTGAGTGCAGGCAGACATGATGCTGGAGAGGTAGCTGGAAGTTCTACACCTTGTGCAGGCAACAGGAAGTAGTCTGAGTTACTGGGCATAGCTTGAGCATAGATGAGACCCCAAAACCTACCTCCACAGTGACATACTTTCTCCAAAAAGGCCATAGCTACTCCAACAAAACCATACCTCCAAATAGTGGCATTCCCTTTGGGGGTCATTTCTTTCAAACAATCACACACCCCTTCCTGTCTCTTACCATGTGATGCCCTGCAGTATCTCTGAACTTTACCACCTTAAAGGCCTTCACCAGGGATGGGGGTATAATGCTGTGGCTGGGCAAAGGCTTGGTATGTGAAGGCCTGGCATCTATCTCCAGTATACATAATAAAAGTTTGCAAATGCAGCTCTTCAGCCTGCACCTCCAAAACCATAAGCCCAATTATGACTCTTTTAAAATTTATCCCGCCTCAGGTCTTTTATTATGGTAATAAAGGAATGGACAGTTTGATACACCTTCTCACTCTTTGTGGCACGAGAAGCCAGTCCCCTTACCCTCTGTGGGATGAGAGTGGGACTTTAGTGAAGCTCTGTCTAAACAAATTCTCAGAAAGCTCTCTTTGAGGGACTGGGGGGTAGAGCTTTGTGGGACAGCACTTGCCTGGCATGCTTGAGGCCATGGGTTCAA